GGTTTTAAAAGCTAAAAAAAAAGAAAAAAAAAAAGAAGAAGAAGACGATGACTGTTTCCTGAGAGACCATTAGCACAGTGGAAGACAGAGATAATAATAGCCCGGGTTTGTATGGGAGTTTTCATCTGTCAGGGACAAGTACAGCGGGGGCTACAGAGACGCTGCTGAAACGCAGGCACCTCTGGGAGTGTGGGTGGCTGGGAGGGTGGGGAGCACGAGGGTGGGCCCTGCTGGGTGCCACGGCTGGACCACCACCCCCCCTGAGATGAAGTGTCCCCACGGAGCAGCCCCAGTGAAGGTTTTGCTGCTGGTTCAGGCTTCAGAGAGCACAGAGGAGTCCCTGGAGCCTCCTTGGTGCTGGTGCTAACCCACCTTCCAGCCCCACGCGTGTCCCCAGCCTGTGGCCATGGGCACGTGGAGGGCAGGGGGCTTCTCTTTGCTCTTTATGGGATCAATGGGATATGAAGGTCCTTGTAAGTATTTTCATTCAATGCCAGGGGCAAGCTGGGTGGGCATGGTTGGGGGATGGATGGCTGGATGGAGAGGGATGGAGATGATAGCAGCTTCAGATGTCGTGCTTGGGACACCTGGCCCAGGAAGGCCACATCTTTGCAGAGCCTCAAAAGCTGCCAGTGCCCCAGCTGGGGTGGGACACAAGGTCCCAACAACTGCTGATCCCCCTCGCTGCTCTGGAAAACACCAAAGCCATAAAAATCAAAAAGCTTCTTCGCTCAACCTAGATTCCAAATTTCTGCTCCTTGCTCTGGTTCAAACTTGGACTTGACATGACACAGAGACAAGACAAAGTCTCCACACACCAGGGTCTGCCCCATCAGTGCCCTGAGCCCTCGTTCCCAGGTGGCGCTGCCCAACTGGCGTTTGCTTTTGTTGGGAAATCAGGGAAAGTTAATTGAAAAATTAATTCCCAGATCCTCTCCGGTTAATTAGAGGTGGCGAAGGGCTGGCCCTGCTGGCAGGGAGGAGGCACAGCTCTGCCTGGGCACAGAGGAGGCTTTCATTGCCCAGCCAAACGAGCTGGAAATCCCTTCCCTAATTATCTCCACAATACACCAGTACAGAAACCAAACTGCTGTGGTTATTTGTGCTGTAACTGGAAAGCTCTCAGCATCATCCCATGATTTGGGAGTGTGGGGCTTGGAATAACGTCCTGCTGCAACCTCCAGGCAGAGCTGTGGGGATGGGCAGGGCAGCTCCCTCTGCTGCTCCCGCCTCCACAGCACAGCGCTCCTTCTCAGGGGGCTTACTGGGAGATACTGGAACGAACTGCTCTGGGTGGCTGTGCCTGCCGGGATGGTCGGAACCAGCCAACCTCAGCACCCAGCTCCAGCACCTGGTTTGGTCCCCCAGTTCCAAAGTCCCCCCGCCCCCCTGTGCTGCCCCAGACTTGAGATCAACTTTTCCACTGCTATGGCTTTTGCTTTGCCCTCCTGTCTGAGCTTTCCCCTTCCTCTGCTCATCTTCCTGATACCTTTGCAGCCTTCATGATGGGGCCCTGGCAGCTCCCAGGAGAGCTCCCAGCCCTGGTGTCAGCAGGACACAGGGCAGGGGAAGGACCCAGCCGGTTTGTTAACGCAGCGATCGTGTCACTGCCTGCACCCTGGTTAGCAGCAGATGTCCAGGTGGGCAGTGCTGCCAAGACACAGGGTCCTGACGGCTGCCGTGGGTCCGGGTCCGGACGGGTGCTGTGGCTCCTTCCACTGCCTGAAAATCTGCGCCCTGACAGTATACACGGCCTTGGAGTCTACCTGGCGCCTTTCCAGACACCCTGCTCCTCTGATCTTTGTGGATCACAAAGGAGGTGCTTTCAAACCAGCAGCACATCACCTGTTCTCCGGGCGGTGACACCGCCCATCCTTAGCGTCCCACCAGCCCGCGGTGCTGCAGCCAGAGCCTGTCCCCTCCCTGCCCAGCCGCCTGCCACAAATCATCAATCCCCGGGGAGGGAGCAGGGAGCTCAGCCCGCCCGAGATGAAAGCCTGCCCTAATTGAAAGCGGCAGCATCCAGCGGGCAGGAGCACCGCTGGCCCCGCGCGGGGGTTTCCACGCTGGGCACAGCCCCGGGGTGAGGGCCGGGCTGGTGGACACGTCTCTTGGCGTTAGGAAACAGGGATCCCTAATGGGATGGGTCCAGGGACACGTCGCTGCAGGCTGCGGGGCTCTGGCAGCAGGGCTGGCTCCTTGGGACAGTTTGCAGCTTCAATCTTGAAGGGGCTCTGGTATTTTTGCTCTTGCACCAAGGAAGGTGCAATTTCTGCCACATCCCGCTGGATGAGGACCCAGCCAAGGATGCTCAGATGAAACTAGGGAAGAAGAGACTTGTGGTGCCTTCTATTATTTTTTTTTTGGGGGGGAGGGAGGGGAGGCAAAGGAAGCCGCATGCAGCTCATCGCCTCCCGGAGCCTGCCAAGGAGCTGCTGCCTGCAGTTCACCTTCAGAGCCCGCACCTTGCCGCATGCCGGGCCGCTGCCACCTCCCGCAGGAGCCCAGAGGGGACCGGGCTCAGCCCCCGCATCGCCCCTGGCTCCGGGGGATGCGGGAAGGGTGGTCCGCGCTGCTGAGACCCTGGCGTGGGTGCGGTGCGGGAGCCCCCGGCTTGTCCCAAGAGCTGCCCAAGCTCCATCCCCCGTCCCCTCCCCGAGGGTCCCCCGCTCCCGCAGCACCGGTACCTGGGAGGTCCCAGTGAACCGGGGAAGGGTCGGTCCTGGTGCTGGAGGAGGAGGTTGAGAGATCCCTGTGGTGCCTCGGGTTCCGGGGGAAAACCGAGGGGGGGAGGAGGATGACGGGAGGCTCAGGGAGGACCGGACACCAAGGAACAGAACTGGTGGTGGTGCTGGGGGAGCCCGGCCGGTCCTGACCCAAGGATGCCGGTGCCGAGAGAGGAGAGTCGGTGTCGGAGGCGGTGCCGGAGGGTCCGTCTTGTTCCCTGTGTCGGTTTGGATCTCAGCGCTGCCGGTGCCGGAGCATC